TCGTCTGTGAACACTCAGATGCTTGTTTGGCTTGGCCATCACTTGCAATCAATATTTTAGAGTTGCACGCTTGCCTTTTTAATGTTTACAAATTTTTAAGAAAAAGTGGATTTATTGATGGGGAGTGGAAGAGGAAAAAGGACTGTTTTTTGCGTTAATTTTCGTTGAGCCTCAAGCGGATTTGGGGCGAGCAGCTGTTCAAATTTACGGTTATCCAATGGTTTTGAATACTATTCTCTTTTGTTTTCGCTGCATACACTTTTCTGCAACTCTATTACTCATTTTTTGCTTGAAAGTTAACTTTCTCTAACGTTCTTTTCCCGATCTAACAAAGTAAAGAAAATTTTCACTCTTTGGATAGGTGAAGCAATCTGCCAGGATTTTTAACTATCCTTTAATGGTTTAGTTTTCAACCTTAAAGTCTATCCAACTTCACCGCAAACATCTTAAAACTAGGCGAATATAAGACTAGCCTCAATCAAAATTATATTTCTCCTTTATATTTGTACTCTGGCTGTTGTCCTTGAGTTTCTTCCAATTTTCACGTGTGTAGCTGACGCTTCATTGTCAATGTTTCAGTCTTGGAAATAAACAGAGACGAATTCGACAGATCTAAGTTATCTAAAATCTATCGAAACCTCGCCAAGAAATATCATCCGGATAGGGTGAAGGATAAGGTAAAAGTGTTTTTTTTTTTCTTGATGTAGCTTCAATAATTCATTTGCAGGCTGCCAAAGTAGAAGCGGAAGCGCGTTTCCGTGTTATTGCCACTGCTTATGAAACTTTAAAAGATGAGCAAACTCGCACAGATTACGATTACTATTTGGATCACCCTGAAGAAAGGTACTTTTTGACTCCTTCCTTTTGCTTCGCGATACCTTCTTCTTTTGCAGGTTCTACAATTACTACCAATATTATCGGAGACGGGTTGTTCCCAAAGTCGATGTGCGCTTAGTTATCTTGGGAACAATTTTATCCATTTCACTTTTCCAGGTTTGGCTTGCTAATTGCTTTCTACTAAAGAATTGAGCTTAATAGCTTATAACACGGGTTGCTTCGCAAGTTTTTAAATATGGTCTATGTTATGGTGTTGCCACCACAATTATGGAAAAAAAACCCTCATATCTGAGGAAAAAAATAAAACATCTTCAAATTGTGAATACTATATTAACTATTTATTGTCAACATAATTCCTTCATTTGCAGTACTACAGTGCAAAGCAAAAGTACTCTGAAGCAATTGCTTATGCGATGACTGTTGGAAAATTTAGGAATATGGCTATCAGTACTGGAGTCGAAAGAGGAGTGAGTTCCTATAAAGCTATAGTTATTTTTCTACCATCTTGCTAGTCCCTAGGCAGCTTTGTATCAGTCCTCACTTTTTTATCTACTGGTCAATGCTCTAAATGGCCAGATATTTTTGAATTACATCTTTCAAATCGCATTTTCATCTTTTATAATTTGTTTTTTGATTTGAATAAAATTTCGCATTAGTGCACAACTTTTTCTAGGTACTTGAGATGGATAGCAAGGGGAAGTTAAAGAAAATAAAAGGAAAGAATAATGAAGACATCATAAGGAGCATTATCGAGGAGAATATGGACGTCAGGTATAACGCCATTATCAACCTAATGTAATACTATAAGAGAGTGTTT